TACTAATACTAATACTAATACTAATACTAATACTAATACTAATACTAATACTAATGTATAACGATGTCTTTGAAAATGTATTTGGGGGTTGCTAAAATATTTTTAGTACCTATCAAAGATTAAAGTCTTTTTTTATGAAGACACCTCTAAAGTAAAAGTGGAATTCATTAAATACACATGCATCAACAGTAAAGCATTTATTTAAACACATAACTGATAAGCCAAGAGTGTTGACACCTGCCACCAATTCTAGGCCAGGACTGCAGAGACCAGGAGTTCACAGGCATTCTCAGTGAACCCCGCACAGTGACTGGAGCCCAACTGGAGCCACACACGACTCTGTAACAAAAACCAAACCAAACAAAAGCTAATATATAACCGCCAAACAGATCAACAGGGATTTCAAAGATCTGGCAATCCGGGAGTCTCTGAAGGGCACATTTAATTACCCTTTTTCTTCATCTACCTTTTAAAGTCTTAATTAATTTGACTGATAGTTAGTAAGCACTTACTTTATACAAGAAAGTCCCTGGGGATTCAGCAATGAGTGAGATACCCCAGCCATCATGGAACTTATTCTTCCTGAGTGAAAGGTAATGTGTGTTTAGGATACCACACCCCCCAATGGTCAAAGGGGGAACTTCATCACCCAAATTTAAGGATTGCCAAACCCTTTCTTAAAGGGACAGAGATTAAATATTCTCAGTTCTGTGGGCCACACACTTTTTCAGCCTGTGCCTTTGACAGAGAGGTACAGTCAGTACGGCTGTGTTCAAATAAAACTTTATTTATAAATATCAGATACATGCTGCAGTTGCTCCAGGGGCTGCAGTTTGCTGATATCTGTCCTGACCGTCACACTGGAAGCAAACTTGACCACTTCTGCAGACCACAGCCCAGAGCATGTTTACAAATGGGGTCTTGGGCTCCTCAGCTTATGTATAGAAGTACATCTAAGAAAGATCCCGAAACAGACAGAAAGTGTAGCCGTTTGCGGCTGTCTTGAATATATATGACAATCTAGTCACCATAGGCTGTGATGCAGAACAAGGCAAACTACCTTTCCATACAATTCAAGCCCGCACTGCCTGGTGCCCGGCTGTGACTAATGCTCCAGCGGGGCTGGCGGTCTCTGGAACATTGCTGTCCTCCCCTGGAGTGTATTCACACTTCCTAGCCAACTTTCCACAGCCTTCACTCTCAAAACAGCACTTCTCAGAAACCGTGTTTTGTGGCCTAAAATGCATGCACCACGCCCCAAAGTAAAGCTTTCAGGCCACATTAAAACATGGGTGTGTACAGTTTCCACATATTTTTATGGAGAGTTGATCCACCTGGGCACAGAAGCAGCCTAAAGCCTTCAATCTTATAATTACAGGCTAACTGAAGCCCTTCCCTCACATTCCAGAGAGAGAGTTGGGGGTGGGGAGGGGAGGAGGCAGAGAAGGCAGGAAAGGGGAGGGAAGCAGGAGAGAGGAGAATCAAGTTCTAGAATCACTGAAAACTGGGTAATAATTCTGACAGAATGTACTAGCATAGCCATCCAAGAGGAAACAACAAGTGTGCACTGTGGAGAAAAAAAAAAAAAACCCTCCTTTTAGGACTGAGGAGCTCATTTATGCATCCAACATATATTTACTCTTTGCTTGCTAAAAGCCAGGCACTGTTTTAGGTACTGAGTGAAATCAAATCCCTGCCCCATGGAGATGAGTCCACCTCCAGAAGTGCAGCAGACATCTGAACGGGGTGAGGTGGGGGAGAGGGGAGGCTTTATACCTCGTCATTCTATAGGAGCCATTGACAGATCTATTTGAGCAGAGTCCCTAGAGCTGGGCTATAGCACAACCCTCTGGTCTTCCATAGTGACTTTGTCTACAGTCTTGAAGGAGTGGAACTTGGTAGATGCCAGGGTAAAAGGCAGGCATGTTACACAGGTACCAAAGAACAGTTCTTCAGTATGGCCTCACTCTTATAAGCTACATTACACCATCACATCACTCTGATAGTCAGAGAGTTTCAAAAACCATTATCAGACACCTGTCATGTTCCAGGCTCTGCTGTAAACCACAATGTAGCAGCAAGCAAGTCATAGACATCCCATCACCTCATGCAAGTCACAGTCCAATGCGCAAGACCTGTCGAGGCTCGCAGACCTCTGTGAGCTTGAGGATAGCCTGGTCTACATATAGTCTGAGGCCAGCAAAGGCTACACAGTGACACTCTACCTAAATAAATAGATAAGCAATTCCAAATCAAAGTGCCAAGCATTGTGAGAGCTTACATGTAAGCATTTAAGTGGCATTTAGGATGGGAAGAAAGGAATAAAAGCAACAGAACAGAGCACACTTGAAAAAAACTTCAGAACCATACTCCAGTCAGTAGATGGACAACACAAACTGGACTTGTTCTATTTTGTTCTGTTTTATTCTGTTGTAGGGGGAGATCACAAAAGTGGGGATCAAGGACTGGGAAGTGAGGGCTTATGAGATGAAATTCCCAAAAATCCATAAAAATACAAGGTCCACAGTTAAAATAAGTCAGTTGTGCCCTTGAGGAAGGGAGTCAAGTCAACAATAGAGATTGACTAAGCATCAGCCCTGTCAGGTCTTGATGACACTGGGAGGAAGGTGACCTAGAGCGCCTTCTGTAGACAAAAACTTTCTCAGAACTGTGTGGTCATCAGTCGATCAGCTAGCTGGTCAAGAACTGATGCACAGGGAAGATCAGGTAGGGAAGAGTGGCGTCCTACAACCTCACACCCAAATCTGTGAACCTAAACCATCCCTGAGTGTCTGCTGCCTTGTCTCTTAGGAAAGCCGAGGCAGAGAAATCTCACAAGCAACCTCTGCATGGGGATGACTCTTCCCTCAGATAAACTTGGAAAGTGAAGCGAGGATGCAGTGTTCCACTGTAGAAATCATGGGGGGAGGCTGGATTTTGAAGTCAGATTTCTCTGAAGCTGCCTGATATATATGTCATACATATGAATACATGTCATTTACCTGGGAAAATTAACCTCAAAGTACAGTGTCCCTATGGATTGTTGAGGAAGGTGTTCTACAGTGAATACCAACAGCAACAGTGGCTTTGGCTCACAAAGAAAAGCTTCGGTTGCATCAGCAGCCCTCAAACTCTAGCTCCCATAAAAACCAAATTAGGTGGCTGGGGGGAATCCTAACAATCTGCATTTCTCAGCTTTTCAAAGACCTCTCTCCTGTTGGACCGCAGGTTCGCAGCCTGTGCTCCTGGTGCTTTGAATCTTCCCAGGATCCAGCCTAAATCTCTTCCGCTAACTTCTTTGACACACTTTGTTTCTTCATTGTGCATCCGACCATCCCAGAAAGCTAACGCTTCTCACCTCTCCAGAACACGCCAGAGTGATGCTTGAAAAACTCCCTCCTCCTTCAGCTCCACATCTGTCTGAGGAAACATTGAAAGGCCAGTTTAAAGACTCCCTGATTGGTCTGATCTCTGAGCCCAGAGCTAACATCTCTGTTTAGCAGTGCACTGCACACTGTCTTCCATGGTGAGCTGTGACGCCCCTAAGAAAGGACCTTACATTCAGGCATCCAGTCAATGAACAGGTATGAGGTATCAGTGCGTCACGGGTCTGGACCAGGTTAAAAACCAATGTGATGATGAGAATGGACATAAACTCTACACCTTCCAGGAGCTCATTGCCTGGGAGACAGGACAGTTCAAGGGCAACAAGAACACAAAGTGATAAGGACCAGATGCTGGTGGGAGAGATACCCACCCCAATACTGAGCCGCCAAAAACCTTCCAAAAGAAATGATTGCCTTCTGATATGTAAAGAATGGAGGAAATTTCACAACAAAAAGTGTAGAAAAATAAAAGCAGAAGAAGTAAAAAGATGAGTTAAGCCAGAGATGAGAAGATGTCAAACTGAAGAGGCAAGCCTCAAGAAAGAAGGGTAAGAGGACACTGGCATTGGTTTGCACTGATTCTTAAATACCAAAGGCAGAAGCCTCGATCCTATTCGCACACAGAACTTACATGTATGTCAAGTAAAAGACAGTAGAAGTGGCATGTTGGTAACTGACATTTCACGCCAGAAAATGTAGACTATATCGAGAATTCTGATCAAAGGAGAAATAGCTGCTCAACTGAGCTGACCTGAACTCTCATTTTTTTCTCAAGCCATGTCTAAGAAAGAAAACTTGCCCTTCCTGCAAATGGTTTTCCACAGAGTCGACCACACACACTGCTTTAGGTGCTAAGAGTTCAGAGAATTTATTTTTATTTATTTATTTAATCACTTTACAGCCTGGTCCCAGCCTCTTCCCTCCTCTCCTCCCAGTCCCACCCTCATGCACCTCTCCCCCTATACCCCCTAGAGAATATTTTCTACTTAGAGCCATATACCAGATCCTGAACTGTGCAAAGAGCGTTGGGCCTTCTTTATGCCAAGCCTCAAGGAAATCCATCCAATGTTCCTAGTTGCAAGAAACCCCAGACCTAAAAAAGGTCATTTGTGCAGTGTTCATTATGGTTTCATGATGGAAGTTTCTGCACAGCTGTGGTCTGGGTCCTCCCAGGGCTTGGGAAGTGATGAGTCAGACAGTGAGTGAGCTGCACCATTCAATACAACTGGCCCTGTGTGGCTTTAACATGAGGCATTTGAGATGCTTCACAGTAAGCACATGCTACATCCAGACAGATGCGGGTGCTGTGCAGAGGGAGTTTGGGAGATGGTGAACAGTCCCTCCTTACGACATCTTTAAGAGAACCGAAGACACTGCACTGTGCCTCTGTATAATATTGTTTTTCATGATTATAATAGGAAGCAAGTTGATAGAAAATGGGATCTGTCTTCAGCAGATACTTCAGTTCTCTTCCATTGTGTTTGTTAGTTAGTTGGCTTTGTTTTGGAGATAGGGTCTCATGCAGTGCAGGCTAGCCCCAAATGCACTGTGAGGTGAGAATGGCTGTGGACTCCTGATCCTCCTGAGCACGCCTCTTGGAGTGTGGGATTCCAGGGGTACACCACCATGCCCAGTCTATGCAGTGGTGGGGACTGAGCCAAGGCCTGCGTCTCTGAAGCAGACCTCCACCTGGTGAGCTGCACCCCCAGCCCACGTTCTCTTGTTTGGTGGAGAATAAAAGTACAAGGTGGGAAGTGAAGGGGAACCATGAGAAGCTTACTGTTAAGACAAGTGAATGTTCTTTGTGGGGCCTTTTGTTATTTGAAATCATTTATATGTCAATCACAAACCCCAATTTACTCACGATCCTCTGTATCCTTCCTGGTTCTTCAAAGCGGCATAGTCTAAAGTTCCAGGGTCAGCGTGACATTCAATAGCTCCCCTTATGCTTATTGTCAAATATACCTATAGCTTCTGCTCTCCAGCGTGAACTCCTTATTTTTCAACTCCAATTGCACATTTTCAATTTCTTATGCATGGTACACTGAGTTATTCTTCTCAATCTTCACTCCTTTCACTTAAAAAATCCATGGCCTTTGACATGTAAGTCACCTCCTGGTGACTTTGTCATGTGACCTGTTCCTGCCGATGAAATATTAACAGCCATGAAACAGGGAGTGTATAAA